CTGTAAGTGGCTTGATATTTGTAAGATTAAATTTATTTCTCTCTGACAATCTTGTACTCTATATTGATCATAATTATATTTTTTTAAATGTTTTTAACTATTAAATATCTTTTTATTTAGACATCTAAAATCACATCTCGAGATAAACACAAGTTTCTGTAGAAAAAAAGAAATTAGAACTTACACGTGGAATTCTGCTTGTCTTATTTTGCGTTTCGCGAGTTATTGAAACAGTATGACTTTCCCTTTCTTCTGTTATACCATGATCAATATTTCGAGTAATTTCCGGAAAAGATATTGGTTTATCTTTAATCTCATCGATATCGCTCGTTTGCCAAATATCTGCTTTTTTTGTTTGCGCGGTTGAAACTTTATCGTTCAAGTTTGAACAACACGGACTCTGTATACTGTTATCAATTTCCAAGTACGCGGGGGTATCAAACTGGCTGATAGCTGCTTCATAATCATGAGATATAACTGTGGATTTTGGCTTCAATTTATTTTTTGTGGTAAATGTTGAGCTAATTGTATCCTTGTTGATTGTATTTTTGCGACCGGATGATGGGTTCATCATGTCTCCACCATGTTTGACAATGTTGCTAAAGTTACATATTACTGCATTTTCTATTTATTTAACACAAATTGAAACATACATAATAATAGTAAATACACATCATGATAGTAAAATAAAAACTAAAGAACGTCTTATATCTTAGATCCTATAAGTATTAGAAACATAACTTGATGCCGATATATAAAAGAAATGAATATATTAAACTTTTATAAAAATAGTAACATAAAGATACTGCTTATATAACTATAAGTGTATTACTCTATTTATGATTATTTACTTACTTGGAAATCATAGACTTGAAATCATCAGGCCGTGATTGGCTTTTAGATGATTTTCGTATTTTGAGTTTAGCTAACAGTTTTAATATCGCCTCAGATCGCTTGCGATCGATCTTGTGTGAGTAAGTGCGACGTGCGGTGACATTTACGTGCTCTACCTCTTCATTCTGCTTTCCCGTCTTTGCCTTCCGCGTTTGCAGACGCGGCGACACCGAGAGATTCAACTTGTATCGAAATTGCGGTCAAAAGCAATGCTGTAATTTTCGTGAACTCCTCGCCAGTGTCTCACGCGAGCATGTATATACATTTACATTTTCTCGAGGATATTTTTTGTAAATTTTATCTCTCGAGTAATCATTTCTCTCTGACGTGTGCGTCATATTATATAAAATCATAAATCGCACATTCTAATTCTATTATCGAAATTTTCGATTCATTGTTTCGTCACTTACTTCGTGTATGATTATTTCTGACTCAATATGAGATAGCGTATACAAAACTTGCTATTAATTGATAATTTATATATTGATATTTTTATTTTTTTGATATATTACATACATCAACGATACCATATACCACATATATTGAGATATTATATATATAATGTATTATATGTTTCAAATAATTAAATTATGTAAAAATTAGAATCTAGTCACAGTCAAAGACAAATTATTATCTGAGCATAGGTCTATGTAAAAATATACGGAAAACAAATCGCGCGATCTTTTCGTAAGTAAGGAACATCAAAGCTGCTGTGAGAACAGTCTGCAGAAGTTTGGCTTCCATTCCTTTGTACAAACCGCTTATACCTTGCTTTCTGTGAACAATAAAAATGTGTTTATCACAAATAGTATTACAAATTATCGTTAATCGAAATGTAATGTAAAATAGATAGACCTATACATTATACGTGAACTTACTTCAGAATATAGAATAATATTTGTATCGTGCCTGCATTCGGAGGTAGATTAGGATACTTGTGTCCATGCTAAAATAATTTAATTATTTAATAATATTTTCAGCAATTAGAGTCACGTACTATGTTTTAGTTTTGCATAAAGTAATTGAGTATAGTAATTAACGACAATTAAAGTATACTATCAGTACCCTGAGCTTTGTTTGCACAAGCTGCAAAGGATATGTTAACGACGTGGCTATCGTTTTCGCTATCGCGCCTATAACGAAGAAGATCCATGCTGGTGTTTGTCTGCCGCTGAGAGCCACAGCAACTTTTCTCTTCATGCTTTCATATGTCATAAATTGAATCGCGGGATTTGCGACAAGCATGAGACTAGGCAACGTTCCTGCCCACAACTGCTTTAAACCTTCATATTTCCATATATGCAAAAGACCATCTATAAAAAGAAGGTGATGTAAGAAATAAATGAAATCTTGTAGATAGGTATATACATATAAATAGAGAAGCTCGAAATACTACGAGTAATGTAGGCTAATTTTGTTCAAAGCTAACTTAATATAAAAAGTGTTAGTGTGTAAAAACTAATTTAGTAAAACATTTGTATACTATATTAGGGTAAAACAAACTTCAAAAAGTTTAGTTGCTACAAAAATATTTTCACTTCTGGTGATAAGTACAAATTTTTTGACGTATTGATACTTTGGACTATCGCATTACTTAGGGTACGTTCGGGAAGCGCGCTATCAGCGCTGTTGCATCATTCTATCTTTATTGCTCATTAGATGTAAAACAAAGATAGAATGACGCAATAGCGCTGATAGCGCGCTCTCCGACGCAGCCTTAGCATGCATGTATTCACTTAACCCTAACCTAACCTGATGGCTAGTCTACAATAAAAGTAATAAAGCCCCTTGCACAATGGACGGAATAGCGATAGCGATAGAGAAATAACACCAGTTTTAAAGAGTTTATATTTTCATAAATAACGGTAGGAACAGCGGAATCTAACATAAAAAAATACACATGTATCAATGCAGATCAGAAAACAGAATAAGCAATAGCGATAAAATTTCCGACGAGTTGGAATTCTGTGTCTATTGCTTATCGCTATCACTATTCCCTCGCATTGTGCAAAAGGCTTAAGGCTGTAGGAGCAGTGATGAAAGATTTGACCGGCCAGCACCAAGAGCGGAAGCCACTTGGAGACGCACACAAGCGAGAACCGCCGTCCGTGTGCGTGACGTCATTCACACGGACGGCGGTTCGCTTGTGTGCGTGCTCGGTGCTCTTGGTGCTGGCCGGTCAAATCTTTCATCACTGTGTAGAAGTATAGAAGAAACAACGGGAATTACGAAATGGGCAATTCCCATTTCGCACTTCCTACTGCCTTACTGTTAGCCAATGAAAGACGTGTGTTAAAAAATGCGAAATAATTACTTGTGTAGACAAAAATGAAATAACTCCAAGAACCTTACTTCTTACTCTATACTGCCTACTCCCATTGTAGACGACCCTTAACCTAACTTAAGCACGATCTTGATACAATCCTGACATTGTGTGATAACACACAATTCATAAGAAAAATATTGATTCAATGTATTTTAATAACCTATCCAATTTCTAAAATTTATTACGAGAGATCCATTGAAGGTATGATAATAGAAAGGGAAAAGGATATTCAAAAACAAATTGATGAGGGAATGATTAGAGAAGCAAGGTATAATAAATATAAGGTATAATATAAAGACTTGAGCAGAGATATAGATAAACCCATTTACGTCCAGAAAAAGAATTTAGATGATATTAGGATGGGTGATCAGGTTAGAGCATTGATGAGAGTGAGATGTGGAAATATGGAGGAAAATAACAAATATTGGAAGGAGGAGAAGAGAAATTTGTGTATTTTGTGATGTGTGTAAAGAAAGATGAGATAGAGCACTATGTGAACATGTGGTGGTGAAGGATTGGTTTAAAGATTTAGAGAAAGATACGGAGGAAAGGGTGAATATATAGGATATGGAATGACAAATTAGAGAAAGAAAAAGGACGAATCCTAAAGATATGGAAAGAAAAAGAGAAAAGAATCAGAGATTTAAATAGAGAGAGACAGGAGCTTTCTGGTCATGATGAATAGGTTGGTTTACATTTTATATAAACGATAATAATCTGTGATATAGATATAGGTATAAATATATAATATAGATAATAAGGATGGAAAGGTGCAATGTATTGTGTTTAAGTAGGTATGATGCAGTGTGGAAGGATATGTGAGGTTAGACTTATTGTAACCAAGTCCCCTTGGCTGTTTGGTTGAAGTGATTAAATAAATTATTATTACTAGAGATCCATTGTATCCGATCGCGATAATGCACATAACGTCATGCTGTTTACTGAATGTAATGTCATAGTTGCTTTAGGTGATAGAGCATTTAGAACGCGGTACGTACACACACAGAGCAATATTTTTCCATGAATGCATAAGCTGACAAATACATTTGCTCATACATTCAATAGAGAATGTGTTACGTTAATGTTGTTTGAGATTTAAATGATGTAATTTGTAACTCGTTGAAAATTGGTATAAAAACCCACACAAAACAAAAACTTTATTAGACGTCTATTAGACGTCGACAGCTCCATGCGACATCTAATAGATGTCTAATGGATGTCTGGATGTCTGTGTGGGAATGAAGTAAGGCCATACGCGAGTAAATTAAATAATTATATTAATATTAATTTACTCGTATAGCTTTAATTCATTTTTATACCAGATTTAAATGAGACATCATTAAAAACGTTAAAAATATACATATATCCCAAGTGATAAGAAATGTTTCAGTTTTAGTTTAAATGTATATAATTGTGTATATATTTTCGTATAAAAAAATATCACCTTACCGCACAAAGTAGTATATTCATTGTTGTTTTTTTCTGTCACAACGCCAACACCTTTCATCTTCAATCTCGTGTTTACGACCCATAGAGGAGTCGTGGTGAGAACGTTGATGACACCTAAAATAATGTATATAAAAATTTCTCTTTCTCTCTTTCCAGTGTCCCACTGGAGTTTCTATCAATGTTACATGCAGTAAGAGACTTGTGATCAATTAATTATAAATCAGAATCTCTACTTTTCTCTATCAAAAGTTTGAACAAACACAAATGTTATATTTCTCTTCAAGTTTAAAAAAAAACTTTGTTCGCAGTAATAAGTACTCAGTGTTTCATTTACAAATTTATCATATTTTTCTTATCTGTTTTTTCCATGCGAGAATAATATATTTGAATGTTAAGTTATGTAAAAAAGAAACATAATACCAGCTATCGATGCAAGAAGTAAATCGCTACCAGCCGTCTGACTTCTTCTGCTTCTCAGCTCTTTCAAACCGTGAAAAGTATAAAAATAAACGAAGTTGCTCGCACATAAACTCTGTAGAACGGGAATAATACCTCTGTACAGAGTGTACCTTGAAGAGAAAATGATTAAATATTATGATAATCACACGTGTTTCTTTTGAAAATGTAGGGGTTTTGGATTTTTGCATGAGAAATTATAGAAAATTTTTGTATGTGTATAGTCACAAGTTATTATTTGCGTAATATACGTACGGTCCTTCTTTCGCAACAAGTTCTCGTATAATCGCTAATGTATGTTTTGACTGTCGTCCTTCTTCCACTGTAAATAAAAAGTAAGATATGACTAGATAAATATACAGTATGAGGAAAGAAGAATAAATAAATAGAGAAGTAACTCTATATTTGCATATATTATTTACATTTTAAATTATCTGTTATTCACATAAAAATGTTTGTTTTAACAAAAGAAAAACAATTCAAAGAACAGAATAAAAATTAAATAAATAAAATCTATTAATATTGTTTATTGTTATAATTTATATTTTAATTACATAAAAATCATGTCTTATAGAAATCTTATAGAAATTTATTACTCTTCAACAGTGATTTTAATATTTAAAATAAGCTTTGTTTAATATTATTTTTTGTCGTCATATCAGTAATAAATTTTTGTAATGCTCTGAGATTTTTATCAGTGCAGTATTAATAACATGTTATAATGATTAATGATATATTATCTCGACAGAAACGCATTAATTGACTATCAAACTTTGATAATAAAATTGGAGAATATTATTGTAAGAACACACGCGATTTCTAATGAAATCAAAAGCCTGCTCGCCGATGTATCATTTCAATCACAAATCGTCAAAAAAAAAAAAAATAAATAAACGCAAAATTGATTGATTTATTCAATGTATACGTAAATATGTATCACTTACGTTGTAAACGACTTCGCACAGTATCCAGCGGGTAGAAGGCCGCCATCGCAATAACACTACCCTGTAAGGTCAAAATGTTAAAGTTATTTCTCGACAAAGAACAGAGAGAACGAATAATGTTTTTAACATGAAATTATACGTACTGCTGCACCGGATATCGCGTGTACGAGCGTATCGTATGTAAAAATGCTTCTGTTGTAGCCACCCATTTTTTCCACACACGTGAGCTCGTCTTGGGTATCGTAAAACAATCGATAGTTTGTTCAATCGTTGTCTCAAGTCATGACATCGAGGCTAATGCAATTTAAATAACACGGTAACTGGCAACGACACGCTGCTGCAAGTGTTCTGATCGATCGATGACGCATATAAACACTCTTTCATGAAACACACAATCTACGACATCCTGTAAAAAATTAGAAGCAAGAAATACACTTTATAAAAACGAGACATTTCGATTCTTTTCAAATCAGGAATTTGTTTTTTACTCTGCAATGTTTTTTTTTGCCAGAAAAAAAACGTTTTTAATTACCACTTGAACTTCGCACTACAATAGATTATTCACATGTAATTTTATTTATTATACTTATAATTTATTATATTTATAAAATTGAAAAATCTCTTTTTATCAATATTTGCACTCGTTGATTCAGCACAACTTAAATTAACTTTTTAAATTAATCAACTGTTTTATTTAATTTAAATTAAATGACTTGCAAGTACGCACATCGGAGTCGAACCGCGGCAAAATTGTATTTTGACCGCACGTATCAACGTCCAGTCTATCGCGAGTGCTCGCAGTACGGCAAGCACGCTGACACTGATGTCGACGACGCCCGCGATGCCGTCGTTCGAGAATCGCACGATACCTACTTACATAAGAGGAAGTCCTTGACACGCGCGTTCATCGTGTTGGTGTTCACCGTTCACAAGTGCCAACCACTTAAGCGCGTTAGCCTCTTTTGCTAGTTACGTACGTTATGTCTGTTATTCCAAAATATATTTTTTATTGCTCGACTATTTTACTAACCTCTACGTTGCTGGCGGTTTACTCATTCGGACGAACATACGTATTATTCCGTAGAACAAGCAACAGACAGGAGTAGCCATCACGCTTGCGCGCCGCTGTGTCAGCGCGTATGCTGAAAGGTCGATGTGGATAAACGCAAGGTGCATGCGCGTTGAAATAGGGTGAGAGCGCGAGCGGTTAGTAATTCATCCCCTTGCTACATTTTGAAACGGAGAAAAAGAAACGCAGAAATATACATTGTTCTTTTTGGAAATGCGAATACTTTTTGCGCAAAAATATACATTGTTCTTTTTGAAAATGCGAATACTTTTTTCGTGTCTTATACGTTAATAGATTTGTGCGTGACGTTTATAAAATACAGAATTTGCTTTTTGCTTGAAATATATTTGTAAAGTAAAATTTTACACAAATATAAATTTCATGGACTTTAAAAAAAATAAATTCTGAATCACAAAAAAGTATTGACATCATATGGTCAAAGACAATGGGAAAAAAGTTGACTTTGACTTTGAAGAATTGCATAAAACATTTTTACGTCAGTACTGTAATGAACAGAATATATTTTTTTACCCTTATTTAATTATTTCTCCTTCTTTCTCTCTCATTTCAAAAATTTTACTTATTATTTTCTTTATATTTCTTTTTCTATGTAAACTTATTAGCCTTAGTTTTCATTTATTCTTATTCTTGACCTTTCATTATTATTTTTCATTATTATTTTATTCTGTGTTGTCAGTGTTGTAATAAACAGTTATTGTACTGTGTGCTGGAATGAAGTTCTACCCCAAAATTGTGAATAGATTTCTCTCTTTCTCTTTTTTTCTCTAGAATCTAATTAATTATATTTCATAAAAGGAATTTGTCAAGATAAGAAATTGTTATTTTGTCGGAGTGATGTTTTCACTTGCAATATATATCAGACTGTTCCAAGAGAGCGATCGCGTTTGAGACAACTGATGCTGCACGTGAAAACGCGGAATCAAATTATAAAACGGATATCGTTTCGACGGCGTTTTGTTGTGGAAAGACAAATTGTATGATGTATAGTGATCTCTGGTCTGTTGCGTAGTGTGTCCGGAATTCCTCAAGTTCTTGTCAAAGTTTAATTAAACATTCCACGAGAGAGTGTAGGACGCCCCTCTGTCTAGTCATGTCCTTCGGGTAACCGAAACTGCCGTCAATACATGCGGCGACGATCTTTTTTTATGAATGAATCTTTCACAGAATGTAAATTTCAAATGGCAAAAGTGGAAACAATTATCTTACATTTTTTTCTAATGTTTCTAATGTTTTCTCAGAGACGCTTTGCATATCGCGCTATATCTAACTCTATACTCGATTTGCTACAAATATTATAGTACATATATGATAACATTTTTCTGTTATTTTTATTTTTCTATTTTTTTTAAATCAAGTGTGTGTGCTGTACTAGTTTAGAAATAATATGTATATTTGTTCGAACCTGCATATGTCATATATTCAATATGTGAAAATAATGAAGTTTTGCTACTGTAACTAATTATTTGATATTGGAATAAAAAACTTCCGCCAAGTAAACACACACACATGCATTTTGTTTTCGTTTGTTGGAAAATAAATTTATTGCTAAAATAAATTTAATTTACTGTTGAAGCAAAATAGTCTATTCGCAGCAAATACATCTTGCATAAAAATTGCGTTATTATAACGAAATTATTTAAAAATTTAGCTGAATTATTTTGAACAAATAAAATTAGCATTCACATAACAAGATTATTTATGTTAAATTCATTAGATTGTACAATATATTCTCGATGGAAAACTCATTTATGTTACAGGAAATTGAATTTTAATTAATATAATTCATATTTTATGTGTGTAAGATACGCGAAATATATTTGTATCGAAATCGCGCGGAAGTCTGTCAAACTTTCTAAGGATATAATTACAAAATTATGCAGAGGAGAAAGATAGTGTTATTAAATATTTCATCGAGCTAAAAGAAGGTCTTAGCATACTTTGACGTTGTATTTTTGTAACAATTGCCCCCACGCGGCTACTATTTGCGTCGTTGCGCTTTCACCCGAACAACGAAAACTCATTCACGTCTCTTTACGTTCTAGTTTGATTGAACTCACGTTTGTTTTAGCTTTCGGATAACACAAAGAGTTTTTCTAGAGCTTTTAATCCCAACGAGTGAAAGGGACGTGACGATTCTTTCTTATTGAAAACGCGAAAAAGGTTAGTATTGATCTCGAAAATATATTTGATAAATTCCAAACCAGCACCGGTTGCGTTAATCAAATAAAAGCGTATTGTTTTATTTTAATCACATGCTCCAAGCGTTTTCGCTAAAATTTATTTCGATGAGCAATTAATGTCTTTGAATAAATTTTTGCGAGATCGTAATGAACGCGAGCACTACAGAGGCAGGTATCGTATTCATCTCGTTACAGTAACTACTTTTCATCTTGCCATATCGAAGCGATTAATACCAGAGAAAATTCGAATAACGAGTTATCGATCAAACCAATAAGACGGAGTAGTCCGCCGGAGGCGATAATCGACAAATCGTAACCCGCAGCGCTAATGATGGAAATCTGGTTTAAGTCAATCTCTCTCTCTCTCTTACTCGGGACGAGCAGAACAAGCGATTTTCTCGCTTCGCAGATTAAAGTGTTCGTCGCAGATGGTGCAGAACGTGCGAGAATGCTGATATTGTGTTTCGGACGTATTGGATATAACAGTCTGTAAGAGTCAGGCAAAAAAACTCATGCAAAGTCATGGAGAAAATGTCATTTATTTCGATATAAAATGCGAGCACAAATCGCGCATGTCGCGATTAATTAATGTGTATATGTGTTTTTTTTTCTCTTATGTTTATCATTTGCAACGACCTGCAGCTCTGCTCGATGAGAAGCTTATTTTTAATTATTATAGTCAACTTATTGGCCGCCTAATTGGTCAAATCGATTGTATCTTAGAGAATAACTACAGTCAAGTCTATAGAAAGAGAAAGAACTTACATCATCATCATCATAGATCTACGCTTATAATTTCCATCGGTCTCGTAATATTTCATAAATATTTATTTGTTCCAAAATTCTTGCAGGAACAAATACGCTTGCCCTTTTTCTCAGCTAATGATGTAAAAGAAGAAAAACTATTAAAGTTATCCGTTACTGCTAAAACATACTTTTTCAGAGTTATTTACGACCTATGACGGTATTAATTGCAGGTATTTAGAAGATTACAATATACACAGTTTGTCCGGAAAGTTCCCGGACTACGTGAATTAAAAATCGAAAATGAAAGATATGGTTTATTAAACAAGTTTACACTTCA